CTTTCGTATTTCCCTCGTTTATGCTGACGTGGAATTGTGAATTTGAAGTCGTAAGTCAGCCACCAAACAACTTTGTAACTCAGCCAACGATAAATCAGCCATCAAAACAAATTAAGTCAGCCACAACATGAAAAATATTTAAGTAATTACTAAAATGTTTTTTAAGATGCCAAATTCAGCCGTAACGTCAATAAGTCAGCCGTAACGTAAAATAAGTCAGCCGTAACTGGAGGTTATATTAGCAATAAATCTTTTGTATATAAGTCAGCCGTAACATGGTTGAGTTTTCCGTTAAGTCAGCCAGTTACGACTGAGTTATGTCTCTGAAACATAAGTCAGCCGTAACGACATTTGATAACTCAGCCGTTATCGATAACTCAGCCACCCGGAGAAAGTTAAGTCAGCCGTGTCGATATCATAACTCAGCCAAACTTCTGATAACTCAACCATCGGACTATAACTCAGCCGCCGTTACGGCTGAGTTATTAGCTGTTTTCTCATAACTCAACCAGATTTTTATAAGTCAGTCGTAACTGTTGGCTGAGTTATGATCCTAAGTCAACCGTTGACCCGAAACTCAGCCGTTGTCCCATAACTCAGCCATAACGTGATATAACTCAGCCGTAACGTACGTTATGGCTGAGTTATTGGTGGCACGCGCCTTTTTGTCTGACGTGGCAGTGGCATTTTCCGTAATTAGTTTTTTCCGGTAACGTGTAAAAAGGACACGCTGGTAATTAAAAAACATTTAAGGATAAAAAAAAGTTTTGGATGGTTTGCGTCAATACAGATAAAATGTGGTCCATCTAAGTAATTCTTTCTAAACCATATCATATTTGTTTCCAGTGCTTGGGTGGTATAGAAGTTCCAAGAACAGTGACGTACAAAAGAAACAAAATCAATGCTAAGTCTTTTAGATGATGCATGAAGGAATTGACAAAGAAAGTATGAGAAACAAGTGAGACTAATGCTGAAGACAAGTTGAAATTGTTGAAAAATTTAGCTTATATATTTATGTCATAGATGAACATTGCAACTTGTATCGCCGGAGGAAATTTTCTGAGAGTATAGGTTCCTAAAATAGAGTGAAATAATCTAATTTCACTACCTCTCCTCTCCCCATGATGCATGAGAGTTAGAACAAAATGAAAATAATCACATATACGTGTTGTTCGTTTAGCAGTCGCAGGAGTCTGCAATTGCGACTGCAATTACTACTCGGTGCTTGTTTTTTTTTTCTTTTTTTTTTCACTTTTGAAATCATGATTATACTTAGATTATGCTGCGACAAAATCTAGGTTGATAATTAATTGTTGGTCCAAAATATAGTTACCGTTAGATTTTAGTCTTCCCTAGATATAAAAGCTTCACTCCTTTGCCTACAAAATATAACATCAAATGGCCCATTAAGTAAGGCCTATTAAAGCCCATTTAAAGAAAAAACTTCTTAAAACAATTTTCCCAAAATCGTATTTGATATATTAAAGAGAGATTTTGATTTCTCTAACCGCTCGCTCTGAATCGGAGACGGTGGTGTGGGTGGGATTCGCCGATTCGCTGCCGTGCCGCGAGTCTTGTTTCTTCGACGACGGTGGTGCTTCTCTGATTAGCACTGACTCTTTCTTCTTCTTAGATCGGTGGTGGTGCTTCGTCGAGTCTTTCTTCTTCTCGGATGGTGGTGGTGCTTCATCGATTATCGCCGAGTCTCACTCTTTCAATACGGTGCGCTGATTCTTACTTTGCCGGAAGAAGGTGATTCTTTCTTGTGCGTTTTGATTTTTCAGATCTCTGATTCGAATCTAAACCTTTCTGTAAGATAGATGCTTAAACATTGAACATTGAACATTGAAATTGATAGAGATTTTTTTCCTGATTTTTATGCAAATTGTTAGAATACTTTGAAGATTCATCAGTGTATTACTGCGTTCAGATACTTGTTGAACGATTCAGTGTATTAGATGCTTTAGTTTAATGGGATGATGCCTTAGAGCAATATTATAGGTAGGATGCTAATTTTTTATCTTAGCATTAATTTATTATCTATACTATTAATTGGGGATCATTATTTGTCTTTGTAGCCAAACAAACTTGAAAAAAAAATATTACAAAATATACAATTTCAAACCTATAGCCAAACACACTAAAAGACAGCAAAAAAATAAATTAAATAAATAAAAAATAAAAAGCAAAAACTATCTGTATTTATGGAAATCATTTTAATTTTGTTACCAAAAAAAATGGACAATTAAATTTGAAATTAAACATATGCAAACAGATTTAATATTAGTTATATATTTTAGAATATTTTTTGAAAATAATAATTTATATTTAAGAAAAATATAGATGAAAAAATATGTTTGATTATAAAAATACATATCATAAAATGTGTGAAATATACGACATAATCTATTATATCATCAAATTTTAAAAATATAATCTTAAAAAGTAGTTAAAAATATTTGAATAAATAATCTTAATTAAATTAATAATTAAAAATTTGTTGGCTAAAATCATGCGAAAATTATATATCACAAGAAATCTCTTATTTTCACATAAAATCTTCATATTAAAAAAAGCAATCTCGAAAATATCGCACAAAAATTAAAAGAGTTTGAAATATATTAATTACATATGAGATATTTCCGTTTTTCTTTTTAAAAAATTAATAATCCAATTTTTTTAAAAATTATTCAGAAATACAGAATTAATTCAATCACCCTAATAACTAGCACTTAACATAACCAATCGAAAATTAGAAAAATATTTAATTCGATTATTATTTTTCCTAACTATAATGCAATTTCAAATCTATAAACTATCCAAAAATAAAAAATAAAAGTTTAATTACATCGTAATTATTTGATCGTTATAAATTCAAGATTTCATATATTTTGGTACCTCATTAACTACTAAATTAAAACTACATAATAAGTGGATATATCAAATTAAAATAATTGTTATGTTTTATTAGCAAATTTTGAATAATAAATGGATTATATTTTTATGATTTAATTTCTACGTCTTCTAAGTAAGTTTCGAAAAGAAAAAACAATCAAGTAGTTAAGAACAAAATCCTTAACTATCTAACTGAAACAAAACTAAATGTCAAACATGTATGAATCCAAACTATAAATGATATACTATAAATATCTAAAAACATTATCCCACATATATAGGTCCAACTGATATAATTATATTCAAAATAATATAAAGTCTTAAAATAATTAATTCAACAAAAAGGGCTGATTTCATTTTTTTGAATATATATGTCACTAATCAAAATTGTAATTGTATAAAATAAAATATATTTTTCAACCGTATTATAAATAAATATCATATCTAGCCAAAATAATAAAAATTGAATTATTTTATTGCATTAAACACATTACTTTATTTTTAATCAAATCGATACATGATTTTGTGATCACTTTCTGCAAAATGATTTTAATCTTATGCAACAAGAGTAAAAATATTATACAAGATGGGAACGGGATGTAAAGAGATCCGAACAGAATGTAAGCATATATTTTCATACAAAAGTCTTAGAACATGTTACAATTAAAATTAATTAACGCTTGCAGTTTTATATGTAATTTTGTTTACATCATCTAGCATAAAAATGTTC